TGTAGTTCATTTTCAGTGTATGTGCACTGGTGGCTTCAAGTTTCTACATCACACTTGTATGAATTGCATACTGAACCAGTAAAACATATTTCTCAGTGGAGAGGGACTTTAAACAAAGTGCTTTTTGCGTAAATATTCAGTCTGATGGCTTAAGGTGTAAATATATATCTTGAAAATGGGTTAGCACAGACTGATTTCCTGCTGAGAGGATTTAAATGGTTAATCTGCTCAGTAACCTACCCCGTGGAGCTTTAGGCCTCTCTGTCTTTCTAACCTTGGGTGTATCATTGCATGCTCATCTTTTTCTATGTGTGCTGTCTTGGCTGTAAACAGACGCTGCCGACCCAGACAGTGAGCTAAGCAGGAGTTTGAACTTGATTCCGTACAGTCCTGTCACCCCCCAGCGGACCCAGAGGAAAAGACCAGTCCTATTCACTCCCACTTCTCTAGCCAAAACCATTATCCAGAAAATACTGAACATGGGGGGAGCCATGGACTACAATATCTGCAAACCAGGTTAGTGTGTGATGAAATATTTCCACCTTATTGGCACAATCCCAGTGTTGGAACTTATTGTGAATCACAGATAGAGGAGATAATGTGAGGAGGAGAGAGAAAGGAGCTACTATTGGGATTCAGGTCAGGTATTGTACTGCGGTGTGGTGTAAATGTTAACGAGTGTAACCGGAGCGATGGCGGGGCAGGATGGAAGATGGCCTAGTTGATAATTAGGATGATGCATGATGATGATGCTGATGATGACAGTGACACAGAGGTGTTTACATCTGCATATAGGGATATTTCAGACATTGCACCCTTTGAAAATCAGTTGACTTCCTGTAATGTAAAGCGTTTTGGTTGTACTGTCAGGCCCACAGGGAATTAACTTTCCAGTCCCATGACAGATCAACTGCTCCCAGGACAGCGGGGTCAGACAGGTTACTGGTTGAACATCTGGCAGAGACACAAGCCTGTGACATGTCTTGGTTACGTGGAGAGTCCCCAGGGCAAAAGACACAGAAGTTTCTGTTCCTTCTGTTTTTAATATGCTGTGTTGAATAAGATCAGTTTCTCAACATTTCTCTTTCAGTGCTATTGTATTTGACTCTGTTATCTACTGTTTAGACACCCTGTCCAAAGAGGAGTTCCATCTGAAACAGAACGTGGAGCCCTTTATTCACTACAAAGAGAAACACGCCACATTTGAATGCATCACCCGAGAAAACATAGAGGCGGTCGCTGCTAAGGTAGGCTATAATTCACGAGTATGTGTATGCAACTGCCTTTCTCTGCGTATGTGTCCCCTCATAATTAAGCTTTTGCTTCTAATGGAATAGTTTGAAATACCACTCTTAACTCTGTATGGTTAATATGTAGCTGGAGCCAGCACCACATTAGCTTAGCATAAAGACTGGAAACAAGGGAAAACTACAAGCCTCGCTTTGTCCAATGATTGGTTTTAATTAGTGAGCTTTAATGTGCTGGTAGATTGTGTTAAAATAGTATCGATCCATTTATTCAACTCTTTTGAAGACAGCAAAGAGACGTATTTCTAAAAATGTTGAACCATTCCTTTTATCCGTTTTTAGGTTTCTGTACACCTTATTCACATATTTACTTTTGTTGTTGTTAAATTCATAGATTCATGCATGAATTAATTTTTTGTCTGTCTTTTGCCAGCAGAAGAGAAAAACACGAGTTTTGTTTCTTTTATTAGATCTGATTAAGCAGTACGCCTTCTAAAACGTTTCATTGTGTTATATGTGAGGTGTTGTGTGCTTATCTCTGTGTTTAATCATATCCGCATTACACAGATCTATATTTGTTTGTAAAGCCCATTTTTTTCCACCCGTCACCAGGGCAAACACTGCCTACTGGAGGCTGAGCTGAGCTGCGTCAAAGACCTTCTGCGGAGAGAAATCTACCCGATCATCATCTACGTCAAGATCTGTGAGAAAAATATCAAGAAGTTACGGTAGGCCTCTCAAACCTCACTTACTCTCACACATTTACCTAGAGCCTCTTACCCGCAGCTGCAAACCACAACCTTTTTTCCAAATGCAAATACACGTCAATCCTTGCTTGACATTTTTAATTCAAGCAGGAGATAAGATTGAACAAGCTAAAGGACGAGTACACTGTTTGACTCTCTTAAACTAAGCATTTATATGTGAGGTTTATCAGCAGCCTGCAGACAATAGTTATGGATATGAATCAGTGATAGAGTAGCTGAATAAGAAATTGTTCCTGTCCACAAAGGGGAGAATTAGACAACTAACTAAAACAAAAAGTATGTCCAGTCCAGAGTGATTTTAGTGGAGGTACAAACTTCTGTTCTGTTTCTCAGTGTATGATTACTGTAATTATTGGCAAATGTCAACAAACCCTGATGGGTGACGTGTTTTCTGGTGGATTGTTCCTTTAAATAGACAAATCGTACTTGAACCTATTAATGTCAGTGTAATCTTTCCGAGAATTACAACAAAGTTCACAAGCCGCCGCTGCAAAGTGTCTACAGGATCTCATCAGAGATACTGGGTTCCAAACATTACCACACTCACCACCACAGTGCTGCTTCCTTCCTGTTTCCTGTCCACACAGGAAGTTGCCTCAACGCGTGGAGTCGGAGGAGGAGTTTCTGAGGTTGTGCCGGGCAAAAGAGAAGGAGCTGGAGGGCATTCCCTGCCTCTACAACAGCCTGGAGCCCGACTCCTGGGCAGGAACGGACGACCTCATCAAGGTCATCAAAGACCGCATACAGGAGGAGCAGAAGAAGACAGTCTGGGTGGAGCAGGACCTCCTGTAGACGCACACACACCAGCACAGATACACACAACGGTCTGTACATAAAGATAAACATATGTAGCTGAGCACCCCAAACACACCTTGTACATCATGTTTCTATGCATATTATTATATTTATGCTCAGACTCAAAAATGTGGACACTGTTTTAGACTTTAAATAAATGCATTATTATATATTTTGTAAATGTGTGCCTTTCCTTTCATTTATATCAATAAACACATGGAAAACATCAAAAAGGGTAATTTTTTACTTAAAAGTTAAACATTTAAAAGGGTTCAAAGTGCTGATCCTACTTAACCTGGACTATACTGAACTCTAGTGGCTGGTGTCATACATCAACTCATACCAAACCTTTTATTTATTTATGTTGGATGTCTTTTTCAGTTTTTTATGCTCCTCCTAAAATGATACATAAATATAATACACATGAAAAATAAACCAATACACTGTCCCTTGGTAGAGCTAGCACCCCATGTAACCAACCAGGCTCTGACCACAGCAGCATGGGGGTCGAGTCCAATTGAAAATACAAGGTGAAGTCTTGCATTCAAAACCTCACTTAAATATCAGCCAAATGTACTTAAGCTATCAAAGTAAAAGCACTCATCATGTCAGTGTTTTATTAGTATATGTGCTGTTTTTGGATTAATATTACTGCTGCATTTGTGTGTTTGCATTTTACTGCTGTAGATGTTTAAACTACTTCAGATACTGTTGTTTAGTTTTATCTACAGCAATGCATCATATTCTGTAAGATTATCTTCATAGTTCTCCTACTTCTTAAACTGAGTAAATGATTTAAAACCCCCTTTTCCTGTGAGAAACCATTTATGTCTAAAAAGTCAACTTTACATGAACTGAAGAAAAACAGCTCTGGGGACAATACAATGCTTTTTCCAACTAATCCAAAGGGGGTTTAAATCATTTATTCAGTTTAAGAAGTGGGAGAATTTTCTCAACCCATAAAGGAACACATCATCCTTCGGGTTCATCACAAGCATTTAAAATCAACGCATGTACAATAATTAACTTAACATTAATATGAGTTGTTGGCTGGTTTAAATCTAGTTAGTGTTTTAAAAAGGCTGCTGTTCAGGTTTGGTAGCAGGTTCCATTCATGTGATTTCAGTTTTTGGTGTTGCTACTCTTTTATTTTTATTACGTCATGAATTGTGCCTTTGAAGCTGGGATAATCTTTGCACTGCAGCTGTTCATTGCCAGAACTGTATTTCATTGAAATATGCAGTATTTGGAGTTTTAAATTGCCTAATCGTCAACAAAATATCATCCAGGCTCACTCATTTAAAAACTCAGACTTGGACACAGAGTTCACTCAGCATTATTATCTATAACACAGTATGGGGCTCTGCTCACAGGAGATTTCCTCCTGTTTATAATTCAGTGTTTTTCAAAGGACACCAGAAGGTTCAATTTGACAAAAATGTGCAGGCCAGAGGGGGATTTAGAGTAACCTCTTTCATAAGGGTGCTGGATAATCTCATCATCTGCGGGGACAGACATGGATACAGCAATATGCAGCATTCCCAAAAGTGCTCATATCGGCCACATAAGAAGACCAAAACACTGTGTCAGCCGTACTTTGGCTACTGTCACCATTTGGTAAACTGTAATACTCATTATCAAAAGTTATAAAATACATCAAAGTAATAACTATATTGAATATGGTAAGTATAATATGATTATAGCCTAAAATATATATTTATCAAGCTGGTGCCAACTTTTTCATCATCCACGCTTTTCCTTCTCTCTGTATGTGTGTGTGTGTGTGTGTGTAGGTGTGTGTGTTGTGAGGTGAATCAGCTGCTCTGTGGGGGCTCCTCGCTACGTTTGATGTCACAGGATGAATAGAGTTCACAAATAACAGGATTTTTTAAGCGCATCAGCCCGAGGCCACAGAAATAGGCGCAGATCCCCACCGCCACATCACCTTATCATCCTTCTCTTGCTCTAATTTTCTGAGTGAAGATGACATTTGTTTTTGCAGGTACAGCAGGTTATTTTCTGCACACGGCCCCCCCTGTGGGAGGGAACAAGGCAGGAGGCGTGGGGGAGCCAAACTGTCTACATAAATCATCCCAGAGTACAGGCATGTTGTGCTGGAGCTGACCCAGAAAAGTGAATTTTTCCCCCTCATGAGCTCACTCTGCAGAAACCTCAGCCACAGCGAAGTCTCGCGGTGTTTCGCGTGCTCCCGCTCCATCTCATCTCATCGGAGGCAGCTGACGCGGCGCTGGGAGCTCGCGGCCACGAAAAGAGGTGAGAAGGTGTTGTTGTTTTGTTTGTAAAAAAAACAAAACAAAAAAAAACTGGTCTTTTTTCATTACGAACAAGAAATCTTAAAAAGTAACAAACCCGTTCACTTCTGAGTAGCGCGAACGTTTTTTTCATTTGCATGCACCTTTGCTCCACTGCTGAGCGCTACTTGGACACACAGACACCGCTGTAGACACCCTGACAGCGTATATTGATACAACCACAGGCTGTACGGAAGCTCCGGGGCTTCTTCTGCTAACTCCGTATTGTCTACGACGAACCGCGCGACGCTTTTAACGGAGAGAGCCACATGCCCAAAAGCCTCCCGGTGCGAGGAACAGCCCGTTCCCGCGGCGCTGCTCTCCCGTCAAAGGCTACATTGTGTCCGGTGGTCTGGCATCCGCTGGCGGCTGCTGCGGACAGGACGGTGTGATTTATCTGTCGCTGGCTCTTTTAATGGCTTTTATCTTTCTTGTTTACACAGCTGGCGTGACACCGCGGTTGAGGTGGGGTTGGTAAACACAAACGAAACGTGGACGAGTTAGAAGGTAACTCATCATTAGTATGTGGTGATTAATAACCTTTCCTGGCACGAGGTAGACGTGTAACGTTACGTCCGAAAATAGTTGAGTCAACACAGAAAGGAGCGTGAACCGCGGACGTAGACATTTGAATTGGTGTTTCTCCTCCACGTTTCCAGACAGTACTCAGTATTCAGATACTTTAGTAATACATTACTGGAATACTCCATTACAAGTATAAATAATATTATATAATATTTATTAACTAATTGAAGTCATTTTTTTTAAATGCCAAACGTTTGAGGCTCTCAAGTGTGAACACTTCTATTATTTAATAATTAATAGTTTTAACTTTTGGACTTTTGCTTCATCATCATATCAAGTTGTGCTCCAGGATAATGTGATGAGAATTCTTTCATTATTTAATTTCATTAACAGTTATTAATCAAGAAAATAATCAGCAGATTAATTGATAATGAAGATAACTGTTGCAGTATTGCAGCTGTACCTATTAAGTTTTATTATACACATTACTGTGTAAGTAGCATCTTGTATTGGTTGGGGTGGAGCTAATAGGAGCTAAGTTGAACTATTTTATATACTGTTGAATAGTGTAAGCCAGACAAATGTGTCCAGTTTGCAATTTAAAACCTAAAACATACAATATTTCACTCTGAATTTGAGTGGAGCGGCAATAAAATGGAACTAACCTAATTTATTGCTATAGTACACATTATAGGGCGGCAGTAAATGTGTCGGAGCGCAGAGAGGGAGAGGAGTGTAGTCTGCCGCCTCTGGAGAGTGGAATGACGATTTTCCATGTCAATGGTCCCTCTTAGCTTCAGGAAAGAGGAAATAATATGAAGACTGTTGCACGAGAGCTCCTTATTTAGAAGAGTGTTGGAATGGAAAAGTCACGCCCTGTGACTTTTAAACAGCACAGGAAGGAGAAGACGATAGACCGGAGATAAAGCCGAATTTAGAAACATGTATTGTGACTGAGATATGGTAGAACGCACTGATCTTTCTGCAGCTCTCCATAAAGCAGTAGGCTGTTTTGTGCGTTGCATGAGCACAGTAAGCTCCAGTGTGTTTTTCGTACATGCAGAATGTATATCTTGGTTAGGTGTGTAAAATATTTGCAACTGGCCCTCTCTCAAACGTTGCAGCTAACATAGGGGCTTTTATTACTTCAGAGGTGCTCAGTATTAAAGTGTGCCGATGCTGCACCTAGTCTGGGTACAGCGGGATACTTGTGCAGTGAAAAAGTTAGTACTGTACGGTATGCAGAGCCCCCTGGCATGCAGACATTTGACAACCACTTGTGATTTTACTGCTGAGAGTGGGAGTCAACTCAGAAATTCACTTCATGCCAAGTGAAGCCAATAAACTGTCTCGTTTTGCTCTTGTTTTGGAGCTGTTTTATTAACAGAGGAGCTGGAATACCTCACTCGCAGTGGGGCAGTTCTTTTGTTTTTATTTTTGCCTTGAAATCTGTTTTGCCTTTTGTAATTTAGGTACCCTAGGGGCTTGAATAGGAGGGGTTTTAAAACACAAGGAACTGCTGCCTTGGTGTATATACTATACTTTACATTCAACCTGGTTTGTCATCATTGTCTTTGTGCTCTGCTCAACTCCCTGCTGTTTTGTGAGCTTATCTGTGTCAGTGTTTCTCCGATATGCTAACCAACGATGAGACAAGCCTGTAATCTGATTTTAGAAATGGAAGTGGTTATTTAACTCTGAGAACGATGGAATACACGACTGTGGTTTTCTCTCTCTGTGTCGTCTGTGTTTGCAAGGTGCTGCAGGCATGGAGCGGAGGTGAGAGTGAATCCACGGATGGCCAGTTCCGCTCCTGCAGTGCACCAGCATCATGATAAACTCCATCCTACCACACACTCTGCTCTAGCTGCCCTTTATCTATCGCCATGGTGAGAGAGAGAGAGCTCCTGGACCTTGAATCTGTTGCCATGGTGACCCTGTAGCAAGAACCCTTTAACTCCAATCTGTTGCCCTGGTGATCGCGTGAAAAGGACCCAGGTAACTATTTCAATCTGCTGCCATGGTGATTCTGTAGAGACGCCCTGTAAAGTCATAGTCAGTTGCTATGGTGATCCTGTAGCAAGAAACAGTCGCCATGGGAACGTCCAGGATGTTCCGCATTTTCGTCGTCCTGGGCTCGGCCTTCATGATCCTTCTGATCATCATCTACTGGGACGATGTCGGAGCGTCCCACCTGTATTTGCACACTCCCGTCTCGCCGGGTCCCAAAATCCCACACCCCGCACCCCCGCAGCCGCCTCAAACCTCCCGAACCCCGTCCTTCCTGTCGGACATCGATGCCTTCGTTAACCAGTTCTTAGAGCCAGGAACTGGTGAGCCCACAGACCCCGCCCCTGCAGACTCAAGTAACCAATCAGAGAAAGCAGAAGAACGGTACATACCGCGGCGGGAGTGGAAGATTCACCTGACTCCAGTGGCAGCAGAGCTCCGTGAGAGACAGGTTAATATATCATTTATTAGAATTATAAACTGTACTAACTGTTAGGGAGGGCCAGATGTCATAGCAAGAACAGCGCATGTATAAATATCACAATTCACAACGACTGTATTCCAGTTATGCTTGTAGCCAGCTGCATGTTGACTCAGTGGCACAACAGACGTATAAATAGAACAGAGCCATTGTTTACGTCATTAGTTCCACCTTTGATAGAAGTCACAATGTCTACCATGAAAAAGACCTGTGGGAGGACTCACACGCAGAGCAATCCATGTTCTGGACTCAAACCATGTGCACATTTATTAAAAGGAGCGAATTGAGACGAATATCACTTGTGAGTTGTTAATTGGAGTCAGCTTTAAATCCTTGTAATATTGATAGAGTTATCAAACACTTGCAATCACTTGAAATTATCCTTATCTAAAATTGGATTCTTGCCTTTATGTACAAAGCTGGGCATGTGTCTCTGTATTTTTAATATCCGCACAATTTCGTCACGAGGAGAGGTTTAATCAGCCAGAATAAGTGGAAACACCTGTGTGGGTGTAGATTAAAGACAGGCACTGTTAAAGTAAGCACGAGTATCAGTAGCAGTACATTTATATGCACATAAAAGGGTAAAGGCTTCCTGAATGTCTCCTTATCTTAGTCACCATTTATTACCATTTGTTTTGGCCCTGTAAGAAAAATGTGATTTTAAAAAACCAAACATTTTAATTGCTAATAATAATAATGTCTGCGTATAACCAGGAGCGGCGGCGGAGGTTACTGCAGGAGATGTGCGCTAATGACAGCGTGGTGTTTCCTGGCAAAAACCGTTCGTTTGACGACATTCCCAACAAAGAGCTGGATCACCTTATTGTGGATGACAGGCACGGTATTATCTACTGTTATGTTCCCAAGGTATGCAAACACCTATGTTTTTCCTGCTTTATTAACATTCCATTTACTTTACTGATGATGCAAGTCTGGCAGGAGTTTAACATGTTAAAGGCTCTCAGTGGCCTTCATGCTGCAGGCTTTCAACTGTTTCTTTAATCTTCATTAACCTTTGTGGCTCCCTCACAAGATTTACTTTCATATGCGCTCCCTGTCCCTCTCTCAGGTAGCGTGCAGTAACTGGAAGCGCATTATGATTATCCTCAGTGAAAGCCTGCTGCGGGACGGTGTTCCCCAGAGAGACCCGTTGGCCATCCCCAGGGACCTGGTCCACAACAGCAGCATGCACTTTACCTTCAATAAGTTCTGGAAACGTTATGGAAAGTTTGCAAAGCACCTCATGAAGGTTTGTTCTAATACTCTATGATACTGTGATCATAATAGTAAAATATAGAAAAAGCCACAATATAGTTAGTTAATTGAATGTATTAATTGCTGAATCGTTTAGTGATGTGCTGCATGATACACAGTGAGGTTATGTTTCAGGTGCGGAGCTTCGCAGCTGCACCTGTTTGGTATTTTAGTAAATTGGCTCCTGTCTTGGAACATGCTTTGGTTTTTCCTGATGTTTTATTTTTGCGACACAGTAAGAACTTAATTAGACTAAATCACTCTTCAGTGACATACAGGCAGCCCCGGGCTCACATCCAGCAAAGCATCTCAGTGCTGGTGCTGCTAGTGTCACATTATGATGTCAGTATCATATTATCACATCTGCTAGCTTTAATTCACTCTTGGTGATTCTGTACCTGTTCAAGACTCTCCATCACAAAGCCTGTCTCTAGCTGTGTCACTGTGTCCTATTGGCCACAAAATTATATAAAAAAAATGTTTTTCCACAAAATGTCACCATTGTTTCTCTGAGAGTCTTCTATCATCTCCTTCAACATGTAATTACTCTTCATTATTTTAAATTGCCTCCCCCAATTGAGGTTGGGGGAGGCAATTTAAAATTCCAATTCCATTTTATGTATGATAATAATATGTT